GGTCCGCTATGGCGGACTACTACCTTCGGCGGCCACCTCTGCTATGGCGCATCAGGTCCTGCATACGACAGCGCGCATGGAATAGCGGGTACCAGCTCCAATACCAATGCAATCAGACTCGCCTTATTCACACTTTTCATGTATGTAAACAGCAGCACAACACACTGGCGACATGCGCCCAAACAGAACTCAGAGATATGGCTCCCAGATACGAGTTCACTTTCAACTGGCTATGGCGACTTAGCGCCCAAACAACTCACTGTTCACACACTGGATCACCCTAGTTATCCCACGCACATCACTCTGAACACTCACACATTCACACTCACTCTTCCCACTAACTACAGCTATGGCAGCTATGGCTGCCTCTAACCTATCGCTATGCTAACTCCACCTCTCTCGCCCACTGTGTCCTCCGGGCTCACTGCAGACCTCCGTGCACAAGTCGCTGTGGCAGCGCTTCCGCATGGCTCACGCAGGAATGAATGAATAGCTGGGCCCTGCCTCTTGACTTATACTTCTGTAGGCCGTTGGTCTGGCCCATTTCCCTTGCCCCAAGTGCACAGAGCCCCGTGCGGTACTTGCTTGACTGACTGGGGACTGGGACGGTTGACTCAGCAGGGTAGAATTCCCCCACTTGCCCACTTGCCTCTGCTTAAACGTGGGCAACTCACGAAAGGCCACTACTGGGACCTTCCAGAAGGCCGTAGACTTGGCCTTTCGTGACTGTAGCAGCTACGACTCTGACTCTTCTAGACTTTAGCAGCTACAACCTTGACCTTTCGAGAATACTACAGGTACGATGTCTGGACCTGACTAAGACTCCTATCCGACAGGTCTACAGATCGAACCCATGCTACCTGGGGACCCTACGACAACCTATCAGCTATTACAAATACACAGGTCGCGGGTTCAACTCCACGGGTCGACACAGGTACTGTACACAGGTAAGGTTGGGGTCTAGGGATCGAACCCTGGGATCTGCAGCAGCTACTGCTAACTGGTGAATACCGTTTCACTTAAACCCGGGGAACTTTTCACGCCCCCGACCTCTGCTCGTGTACCTCGATGGAGAGCATGCCCTTGTCTGTTCTCGTCTCCTGTTTCTGTTCTACCTGGCAACCGATCACGTGAAAGGTTCGCTCAGCCCCCAGATCGAATCAAGCGTGTTTTTATGGGCCATGCAGTCTGAAAGAAGGCTTGAGCTTTCTATGGTATTTGAGGCTTGTCTTCCCTCACAGCTACATGACAACCAGCTTTTGAGTTTGATGCTGACTGTTCTGTGCACTTTGTGCAAATGTGCTCTCAGGCTATGTTGAGTGGACTGCTCGCTTGCCTGCCCCATTGCATCCTCCGCTCACCCTTAAGTTATGTTTCTTTTCTTCGTTGCCTCCCCCTATCCGCAACTGTGGCTCATCCCTCATCTCTTAACGCGCGTAGGCTGGGGGGGAGGGTTGGCGCACCACCGTGCCAGCAAACGAGGGTGTGGAATCCACGTGAGTGGGCACATGACGACCGTGGATTGGCTCCCAAGACTTTGCTTAAGAAATGGTTCATCAGGTTGACACGATGATGACAGTATTAGGAGTAGTCTACCTGTCAAATCCATGAATCCCCTATGTGCATGTGTGCTCATAATATGAGACAATGCGAGGTGCTGTCTCACGAAGTTGCTCTTTGGGGAACCACCTATCCTCTTCTGAGTGTTGCTGTTGCCGTCTGATTCTAAGCTGTTGACCCGGTCTCGCCCCTCCTACCGGTTCTAAGTTTGGCCTGATCCACGTGCCGGTCGATATCATACTTACCATCCATATTAGGCGGGATCATTGATCTGCACGAAGGGAAAGGTTCTTTTCTGTCCCCCTTTGTTTTTTTATTTGGAAATGCCCTTCCTGGGTTACTAGTCACGAAGGGAAAAACATTGTCTTGAGTTAAACTGGGAACAATTTTGAAGCCAGGAAGGGCAGCAACTTTGAAGCATGGAAGGGCAGCAACTTTGAAGCATGGAAGACAGGATATGTACGAAGATGTGGTGGAACATTGATGATATACGACATTCTGCCAGCGTCTCCGTTGACATATATGACTACCCATGCTCCTCTATATATGCGGGTAGCAATTTCTGACAGATCCCTTCTTCTGGCACGAATTCGACCCACACTAAATCCCCGATTGCGGACTTTGATGGTCTATAGTGCTTATTAGCATGCTTTATCATTTTGAACTGGGTGTGCCTGATGTTCTCGGTGACTTCGTGCAAGTCTTTCTCAAAGTTGCTTGATGTTCTCAGTGACTTTTTGTAAATCTTTCTCATGCTGCAGTGCAAACTCATGGGTGTCGGGTGGTAATCTCTAATTCCAATCTGGATTTAGGCCATCGATTGTTCTTCGTGGCTTCCACCCTTTGTGCAGCTCATTAGGCGTTCGGTCAGTTGTCAAATGCACCGAGTTGCTGTTTGCACCGAGTATTGTCCTAGCCATTTTTCGAAGTCGAGGCTTGCATGCTGCTGCAACTTTCGGGGCTCGGCCGACGGAGCAAAATGGCTGGTGGCACCCCAGCGAAAAGGAGGCCCACACAGTTTCGTTTTTTTTTAATATGCGCAGCACGTTCCCAGCCCCGGAGAAGAGTGCCTAGGAAGTACTGGTGGTTCAAGGATGTGCATTTATTACAGGGGCTTCAGTGCCGTCACTGTTCGTAGCACAGAACCCCTACCGTGCATCGATGACAGGGTTGTACAGATGGCAGATCTGAAGTCTGGGTGCCATCAGATTGAGATAAGACCCAAGGATCAGCTCGAAACTGTATTCCAAACATGATATGGATTATATACACTTGTGGTGATGCCTTTCGAGCTCTGCAATGCACCTGGCATGTTCCAACATTCAATGCAGCGTGTAGTTTGTGAGTACTTTCTGTGAAGGTGGCTCGTATAAACAGACAGAGGGGCACTGGGGGTGTATGCATGTTTAGGACACATATATTTGCGAGGCATAGGCCTCGATAAGCCCTACTGGGCCCCTACTTGCAACTGGTCGGCCGCCCTAAGTGAAGGCAGGCCCGACAGACGACAAGAGGCCTATTTTTTACTACTTCACAACTCGGGAAAATTCAGGCAGTTGCGCAGCGCCAGTTGGTTGAAGGCGCCCAGGCCCTGGCCTTCTTTATCGACTGTATCTAAGTCAGGCCCTGGGCGAGATACGCAGCATAGGCCCAACTCAGACAGCGGGCAGTTGGGCCCGGTTAACTGTCGGTGGCCCTGGGCCTTATTCGTTTGGTCTGAGGCTCAGCCTCCCTGGGCCTACCGGAAGCTTCTGGGCAGGGAACCAGCACAGCCAGGCTGCACGCAAGCAGGCTGGCCATTTCCATATAGGAAAGGGCCAGCCTACGCATTCGGCATTCGGGCACTGGCTGCTTTGTGCACAAGCGCTGCTGCGCTATCACCTGCCAGGCTCACGTGCTCACGGGCGAGCTGGAAGCAGCAGGCAGCCATAGCCGAGCTGCGCTGCTGTATGCTGGATGGGGCGCATGGTGGTCCTTGGGTGCAAGTGGCATCTGTGAGTTGGGGAATGAGGTTGTGAGTGGTACGAGAGACATACCTGGTGCTAGAAGCGTGCGGCATTGGCCGAGATCTGCTCGTACTTTGGGGAGCTGTTGACGTCATCAGCGGCATTGTAGAGTAGGCTAGATAGGATCTGCCATCTATAGTCTGGGCGCCGAGCGCGAGATAGGATATCAACATTGGTTCTTCGTTGATGATGATGATGAGACTATTCCAGCATTGTCAATCATGAGCTTTTGGTGTGCTCTTATTTAGTGAAACTCGTGATGCAATTCTACTTTTGGGGCCAATTGGAATTCCGGTCGGCCCAGTTGGATCCGGCCTGGTCCAACCGGCCGGTTGCCGGCACCGCCCTGGTTATTTTGGGAAAAACGTATGTGATAGAGCTCATCCTTTTTTTTGGCCAAGACACATTCCAAAATCCGTAGTAGATTTTCTCTTCCGTGTCTATGCTAGGGAATAACAGGTCTTGCGTAACGCTCCTGTGAGGCCAGCCTCCCAGTGTTGGGAAAACGGGCGGGGACAAGGCGCGGGCCCAAGGGAAACCGGGAGAAATGACGGCGATATTTTTGTAGTGTCGTTGTCGGCGCTGCGCATGTTTGAATACAAGTACATAGCAGTCCGCATAGCTGTGTCGTTTCGTTTTTTCCTTTTTTGGCGTTTTGTTTTGTAAGGCAGCACGTTGGTGATTCCAGATACCATCCGCGGCCTCAATCTCTGATTCTCTGTGCTCCGTGTGTGACGTTTCTCCCTTTTTCGTGTTTTTGTTCTTAGGGGGTGCACGTCGTTTCTGTGCTGCCAGCTGCCACTGACGTTTTTGCAGTTGATATGAACTTGGTTGCCTGACGAATTTTATCGCCACTCACACACAGACAGTCTCTCACATGCCCATACATGCATAAGAGAAGGGGAGAGAGGAGACAGAGTCCAAACTGCACACATGTGAAAATAAGCAGCGGAAGACAATCATGCACAAATGGGGAGAAGACACGCAGTGTTTCTCACTTGCTGACAAAACTCCCAACAACCAATCACAAGAAAGAACCTGCGAAGATCACAATTGAAATGACACTGATGCTGAGCCACTCAAACAATTATCGTAACAGAGTTTGTTCCAGTATCTCGCCACTCTCAGCACTCACACCCCACTCTCTATCCCTCACCCAGTTAGTAGCGCCACATCAGAACAGCCTCCCAGAGGCCAGCACCAACCACCCTGATGAAGAACAGGTCCTACGATGAAGTCTTCAGTGCCGATGGACAACTCTGACGAAGGAACAGGCAGCTATGGCTGCCACCACTCACGAACACACAGTGTAGAGCCTCGATGTAGCCCGGCCAGACGCAGATACCCCCAGGGGTAGATGCGCTGAGGATGCCCCAGCTATGGCAGACTCAGACTGGGCCGGCTATGGCTGCTGTCCACTGAGAAGTCTCAGGATGCCGCCTGCAGATCGACACCGCCACCAACTTGCTTGGCTTCTCCAACGCTGCTTTGCGAGAAATGAACTGCCAAAAGTCCTGAACCGATTGGCCTAACCTATCTATAGACTACGCTAGACCTAGACCGGACTGACTAACTGACCGGTACCGTTGCTGTTTCGGCCTCTACCGGACCCGGCTATAGGCTATAGGACCGTCTATCAGCATAGGCCGCATAGGGCCTGTCTGTCTTAGGGGTAGCCCGGGCCTGCTATACGCAGTTAGGGTAGCTGTAGGAGTTCAGGTTAGTACTGGGCCTATATTTTCCCAGATTTGCAGATATGTCCCTCACGAATTTCCCTACAGGCAGGTCTCTCGGTTAGCCCTCAGCCAAACAAAATTACGAATCTAACCCTACCGGTTAGTGTATAGCCTCGCAGTCGATCTCGGCAGTAGAAATCAGCAAGTCATTGCAGGCTTACCCTCCCCGGGAGCGAGGACCTCCGAGCTAGGGGTGGAGGCGAGGTGAACGGCGAGGAAGGTTGCCCTTCTGAGCCGCTACATATCGCAAGACAATAGACTTTGCTGTCTTGAGAAGTTCCCTTCTGTAGAACCATCTGCTCTCAGAAGGAGGTTGGAATGCGAACCTCACAAGATACTGCCGGTCGGGGCGTGTGCCCCACTCATCCTCAATCCGGTCGATATCATATCCCTTACCAGGGATTGGTGGACCAAACTGAGGAGGCCGGTCTGGGAATGCATCAGCTGGGGTGAACGGCAGCAGCTTGGATGCATGAAAGACCGGGTAGGTACGTAGATGCAGAATGACGTCGATAACATACGACGGACCGAAGGGATCAACGCCCACTGTATCTAGGACCTGCCATGGACCCAGGTAACGTGGCAACAGCTTGGGGGAGATATCCTCCTCCCTCGACAGCTCAGAGTTGGCCACCCAGACATGGTCACCAGTGCGGATGGGGGAAGGCTACCTGTGGCGATTAGCTTGTTCAATCATAGCCTTTTGGGCTTTGAACAAGTTCGTGCGGGCTCTTTCCACATCTAGACAATAACGTCTGGTGAACTCTGCTGTGCCTGGTGTCAGATCAAACTTAGCCTTATCGATGATATCATCGAGAGGCTATCGTGGTTCATGTCCCCAATGTAACCGGTAGGGATTGAACCCTGTCGAGGAGTGGACAAACATGTTATACATGAGCTGTGCCCTCGCCAAGTGAAAATCCCAGTCCTGTTGATCTGGCGAGATGACAGGACGCAGCAGCTGGAATAAGACTTGGTTCATCACCTCAGCCAAACCATTGGCTTCAGGATGGTGACCAGAAGTCATATCTAGTCGGGAGTGCAGGTAGTCCTTACAGTAGGATGGCCACTCATCGCTGCAAAATTTGGGGTCTCAATCACTAACAATAGAAGTGGGCGGTCCATGGTGTGTGACCCACCTCTAAGAGAAGGTTGCTCTCACAGCCGGTACCCTAGCTACCTCTGGCAAGGGGATGAACTGTGCGTATTTGGAGAACCTGTCCACGCAGACCATAACCTGACGCATGCCCCGAGGGGTGGTCTGCCTAAATCTGTGAAGTCTATCGACACAGATTCAGCAGGGCCATTAGGTATGGGTAGGGGTTTGAGCAGTCCCAAAGGAGGTCTACGCTGGACCTTATTCCTTTGGCAGAGCTCACAGGTGTCCACATAGCGCAGCATATCACTCCGCATCTCCTTCCAGAAGAAGCGCTGCGACAGGGCTGCATAAGACTTTAGGAACCCCAAATGTCCACGGGCGTCATGACACTCTGACATCAGCAGTGTCCTGAGCCGCTGGTCCTGGGGAATGCACAAGCGCTCCTCACCTCTGCTGCAAGTATACAGCAAATCTGAACTCAGAGCATAGCCTGGTTCAGAGTTAGCATCTGCTTGCAGATTCCTGACAATGGGTCCGAAAGTCTCGTCCTGAGGCAGTAGACGAGCAATGGTCTGACGGGTCTCCTCTCCAAAGGAGTGAGTAGAGGAGGTCGGCGCAAAAGAGTCGGGCCTACGAGAGAGGGCATCTGCCACCTTGTTGTAGCAGCCCTTCTTATGCTTCATTTCAAAGTCAAACATGTCAATGAACTGAATGTACCGTGCCAACTTATCATTCAACTCTCCCTGGGACTTCATCCACTGTAAGGTGGAGTGATCTGAAAAGATCTTGAAGTGTCTGCCCAGGAGAAAGTGTTTCCAGTGTTTCAGGGCACAGACAAGAGCATATAGCTCTTTCTCATAGGTGGAGTCCTGGAGCTTTTGAGTTTTGATCTTCTTACTCATAAACTCTACAGGCCGTAGACCATTCCCATTATCTTGCTGAAGAAATGCCCCAATGCCATACTGACTGGCGTCAATGGTCAGGATGAATGGCAAAGTGGGGTCAGGTAACTTCAGTACAGGCGCACGAGTCAAGGCCTTCTTGAGTCGTGTGAAGGCCAACTGACAGTGAAGGGACCAAAGAAAGGGAGTGTCCTTCTTTGTCAGGTTAGTCAGGGGTGCAGCCACTGTATAAAAGTTCCTGACAAACTTTCTGTAGTAGGAGGCCAAACCCATGAAGGACCGGACATCCCTCACTGTCTGAGGTTGAGGCCACTCCTGAATAGCAGCAATCTTGGCTGCTTCAGGAGCCAGACCATCTCCAGAGATTACATGACACAGGTAGATAACAGAGGGAACTCCAAAGGAGAACTTCTCTCTGTTGATCTTGTACTGGCTGTCACGTAACGACTGAAGGACAAGAGCCAAGTGCTTCGCATGTTCCCTGACAGTTTTGCTGAATACCAGAATATCATCCAGGTAGACAACCATAAACTTGTTCAAGTAAGGTCTGAAGATGCAGTGCATCTCTGTCTGGAAGGTGCCTGGGGCATTGCAAAGTCCGAATGGCATGACCAGGAACTCGTAAGTCCCATACCTGGTATTGAAGGCTGTCTTATAGACATCCTCCTCTGCCATCTCAATCTGGTGGTAGCCAGATTTGAGGTCGACTTTGCTTAACATTGTGCAGCCCTGCACCATGCCCAGGAGGTCATCGATCCTAGGAACTGGCTCAGTGCTCTTCCTAGTGATCTTGTTGAGACCCCTGTAGTCAATACACATTCTGAACTCGCCATTCCCTTTGGGCACAAAGTGAACAAGTGCACCGAATTCAGATGTGCTGGGTCTGATCCAGCCCTTGCTGGTCAGGGTCTCAAGCTGCTTTCTGAGCTCTTCAAGCTCAGCAGGGGACATCCTGTAGATGCGGCCCTTGGGAGGGACCGCTCCAGGCAGCAACTCGATGTGATGCTTGGTCGGCCGGTTGGGTAACCCAAAGGGCTCCTGCATCAGATCAGTATACTGATCTACCACCTGCTGTATCTCAGGAGGACAGAAAACAGGGGGAGCATCTGTTTGCTTGACCAAAGCAATAAACAAACGCTTGTGGTGGTACTGGCGTGAGAGAGCATGAAACTCCCTCGCTCTCAGGCAGTAGCAGGAAGTCTTAGGGTGGTGATCAACAACAATCATGCATGGCTGATACACACCCTGGCTGTCTGGTAGCTCAACTCTAGGGATCTGCTAGTCGATCCTAGGGTTGACTGCCTTCAACCACTGCATGGAGAACACCAAGTCAAAAGGCAGCTCAGGGAAAATGTAAAAGTTCAAACTGTGTCTGACTTTTCCAGCAGTATCGAAGGTCACGGGGATACCCTTGACCTTCTCCCTGATGCTGAGCACTGTAGAGTCACCAATCCGCACCAGCAGCGGTTGCTGCAGCTGCTGAACTTTCATGCCCAGGTGCAACTTTTTAACTGCACTGGGAGACATGAAGTTCCTGGTGGCCCCACAGTCCAACAGCCCAGTGATCCTGGTGTTGTTGATCAGTGGCTGAAGCATGATGAGATCAGTCTTGCTCTTCTTTTGTTCCTTCAGATGAAGGAAGAAGGCAGCAAGGGACTGAAACAATTGCAGATTCACCTACCTGAGTAGATGAAAGTGCAGCATTGGGGGGAACTGCAATCCCCAGGGTCTGTTTCAGTTTTTTGACTGACCTGGGCCTGGCATGTAAGGGCAATCCTTTAAGAAGTGATGTCCCTCACCCCTCAGGCAGACCCCTCTTTCCTTTCTTCTTCTCCAGACTCCCTCCTGGATCTTGAGGTCATGCCAGGGGAGTGTGGAGGGATTGAGAGGGTCAGCTGGCATCCGGACATCTTTGGGGAAGTTAGGGCGCTGGGAAGAGGAAGGTCGACGTCCCTTATCATTCCCCTTGGCAGTGGCTGAGGCTGTGGTGGGGAAGAACTTCCTCTGCAGCTGCAGAGGTCCCTGAACAGCTTGAGTCACGGCTGCTGCAACATCAGGATCAGCAACAGATCCAGTCCCAGTTGAAGGTGCGTCAGCCTGGGAATCTGAATCTGATCCTGATGCAGACCCCACATGAGTGAAGGCTGCCTTTCCCCTTCTGCCACCTCTAGGGAAGGCACCTTTCCTCCTGTTAGAGGATGGGGCCTGGACATGGAGCTTTGCCTCCATTTCCAGGGCAGCGTGGCCAAAGGACCTCCAGTCCTTGTGCCCAGCGCTGTACAGTGCAACATCAAATTTCTCAGGCGCTGCCCTGCAAAAGTTGGTCAGCAGATTGTCAGTAGACATGACCAACCTAGGGGTGGAGGTGAGCTGCTCAAACTCAACAAACAAGGCCTGCAGAGTCCCAGTGCACCGCTGCTGTCCCAGGGGAGCAATCCTGTCAGCACCCTTTAGGGCTCGCTCCTTGTCTGCAAATCGGTCCTCCAGGGCCTGCAGAAATTTGTCCACCCCAAGCCCAAAAGCCCAGTCCTCCATGGACTGCTGCAGATTGCTGGAAGTGGAAGTGGCCCACTTCAGTGCAGGCCCTTCCAGCAGCCCCAGAACAGTCGCCACCTTGGTCTGTTCTGCACATACAAAGCCCCTCAAGTAGGCTTTGGTCCCAGCAGCCCAGTCCCTAACATTAGTCTTGGGGTCATCACCCCTGAACTTGTTGGGAGCAGGGATCTTGGGACCTTTGTAGTCTCATGCAGTAACAACAACATAGGTGGCCTTTGCTGAGGCCTTTTGGGAATGGGATGGTGATTGGGAAGAATGTGCTAAACCAGGGGGAGTAGAAGGGGGCGAAGAAGGAGGAGAAGGTTTGGGTTGCAGCAGAGGGAGCTGAGGGGCAATCAACTTGGCGGCTGCCAACTGAGCAGTCAAGCTTTGGATAGCATCCAGGATCTTAGACTGCTGAGCTGACAGTTCGTCAACCCGATGCTCCAATCGCACAAAGCGGTCATCCCAGTTCGTGAATTGTGAACTGGTGATCTTGTGTTCCAGCAGGATCATCTTTGCCATGTGCTTGGTGATCTGGGCACAACGATCATCTGTGAGTGCCTTGTCTAGCTGCTGCAACATATATTCTCTTCTGGAATGATCTGTTGCAGCCTCTAGCTCAGTTGCCTCCTGCTGTTCCAACGCTGCAAGCCTGGCCTGCTGCTGCCGCAACTGTTCTTCCAACTCCTTCATCCGCTGAGTAGCAGTCAGAGGTGGAGGAGGAGGAATGGAGGTTGAAGTTTGTTCACCTTCCACCTTCATCACCACTTCCACCTGTGGCTGCTGCTGAGTCCCCTAATCAGACATTGCCTTTTTCAAAATAAAACCAAAAATAAAACAGCAACCTGAGTGTGAATCGATAATCAGTTTCCTTCAGATACCCTGGAATCGCTGCAAACTCTCAACACTGGAATAGGTGGGTGTATAGGCAATCAACGATTGGGATTGGAAGGGTGTCTCTGGGGTCAGGTGTCAGACAGACGGTAAGTCCAGCAAAATCAGTCACACGATTTCCTTTTACTGACCTTGGACCAAACTGGAGTTAGTAGAATCACTCCACTACTCTTCTAGAGACCCACTAGATTTCCAATACCCATTAGAAAGCAAGAGTAGTCATTGGGAATGATTGAACATGGTTAGTACAAACAAGAGAGATCAACCACAACAAACGATGCAGACAGTTACCCTGTATCCTAGCTCAGACTCAATTTTAGACCCTGATGAGTCTGGCGGCCATACCCTAGGGTATGGCGAAGTACAGTATTCACTGTATCCAGTGAAATATTGTAAATCCATCTGTGCGATTCTGCAGTATTGCCTACTTTCAATTTGCGATTCACTGGGGACCGACAGATTTGAATTCTGACGGACAGAATTGAAGTTATGACTGACCCTACTTAGCAAAGGCTATAAATAGACTCAACGCAAAACTATAATTCCCAGTATTACTACCTTTCCAGTGCAGAATTCACAATTTGAGCATCCCAGAATAATCGCAATGCAGTAAAGCAGTCACAGGACAATTTTGGATTGAAAAGAGTCAACAGAGGGTTAGAAATGAGCAGAGAGAGGTAGGGGAAAGATGGCTATGGATGTCATGCAGTCTGCGATTTTTACACCCAGTCACTGACAGACAGATAGACCATTATAATTGACTAAACTAATACTATCTGAATCGCAATACAGGTAGGTGGATGGAACGCACTCACTTTCAGAGAATCTTGCAGGTGATGATGAAGATCTGGCTATGGCTGATGATAACCCTTATCTCGCCACTTTCTCCCAGATATTCCTCCTGACTCTTCCACGCACAGAACTGCTTCAAATTCGTTGATCCTCCTCAGGATCCTGTAGCGCTGCAATCCCTCAACTCAGATACACTGGATCTGGTCCTATGGCGCCCAGTATGCCAACACCAAAATATCTCGCCACAGTGCCTGGCAGCCGCTGATGCTAAAAATAGCCCCAGATGGGGTTATTCCTTCTGGAGATTGATATATAGCATCAATCTTTGCCAGCGCTACCCAGGGATGCTGCAGCTCAGGGTTCCCTGATGTCCTCAGGGGTAATTCGCCCCTCTGGGGTAATTCGCAACACTACCCTCAGGGTTGGCTATGGCGAAATAACCCTGTACTCGCCACCTCCTGACAAGCGCCCTGACAGGCTGAGTGTGCTTGCTCAGTACAACCACTGACACTTGAATCCACCGCTGAAAGTCTTCTTCCCTGCTGACTTAGTACTAGGGAAGATGAATCGCCATGAAACTCTCGCCAGAAGATCGCCAGATGAAGAAGATGCCTTAGTGCGCTCAACCCTCAGTGTTCCAAATCCAATCCCGCTCTGATACCAACTGTTATGAACTTGGTTGCCTGACGAATTTTATCGCCACTCACACACAGACAGTCTCACACATGCCCATACATGCATAAGAGAAGGGGAGAGAGGAGACAAAGTCCAAACTGCACACAAGTGAAAATAAGCAGCGGAAGACAATCATGCACAGATGGGGAGAAGACACGCAGTGTTTCTCACTTTCTGACAAAACTCCCAACAACCAATCACAAGAAAGAACCTGCGAAGATCACAATTGAAATGACACTGATGATGAGCCACTCAAACAATTATCGTAACAGAGTTTGTTCCAGTCTCTCGCCACTCTCAGCACTCACACCCCACTCTCTATCCTACACCTAGTTAGTAGCGCCACATCAGAACAGCCTCCCAGAGGCCAGCGCCAACCACCCTGATGAAGAACAGGTCCTGCGATGAAGTCTTCAGTGCCGATGGACAACTCTGACGAAGGAACAGGCAGCTATGGCTGCCACCACTCACGAACACACAGTGTAGAGCCTCGATGTNAGTGCCGATGGACAACTCTGACGAAGGAACAGGCAGCTATGGCTGCCACCACTCACGAACACACAGTGTAGAGCCTCGATGTAGCCCGGCCAGACACAGATACCCCCAGGGGTAGATGCACTGAGGATGCCCCAGCTATGGCAGACTCAGACTGGGCCGGCTATGGCTGCTGTCCACTGCGAAGTCTCAGGATGCCGCCTGCAGACCGACACCGCCACCAACTTGCTTGGCTTCTCCAACTCTGCTTCGCGAGAAATGAACTGCCAAAAGTCCTGAACCGAGGGGCCTAACCTATCTATAGACTATGCTAGACCTAGACCGGACTGACTGACCGGCCGGTACCGTTGCTGTTTCGGCCTCTCGGCCTCTACCGGACCCGGCTATGGGCTATAGGACCGTCTATCAGCATAGGCCGCATAGGGCCCGTCTGTCCTAGGGGTAGCCCGGGCCTGCTATACGCAGTTAGGGTAGCTGTAGTAGTTCGGGTTAGTACTGGGCCTATATTTTCCCAGATTTGCAGATATGTCCCTCATGAATTTCCCTACAGGCAGGTCTCTCGGTTAGCCCTCAGCCAAACAAAATTACGAATCTAACCCTGGCGGTTAGTGTACAGCCTCGCAGTCGATCTCGGCAGTAGAAATCAGCAAGTCATTGCACAGTTCCCATTTTCAGGCGGCACTCTTTGGAACCCAAAGAACTCTGTTGCAGTTCCAGTTATGGGCTGCGCTTTTTTGCAGTCCACAGTCTTTTTTGGGGTTTGTGAACTCAAACTGCACTTTTCACAAGTTACCGCTCTCTTTTCTCTTTTCTGTTTTTTTTCCTTTTCCTTGCCTTTTTACAGGTTGTGAGCTACTTCAACATGCCTTTGTGGAAGAAGATCGAAGTGGAAAAATATCTGTCTGTCTGTTTGTCCGTCTGTACGTCCCAGTCTGTCTGTCTGCCTTAACCAGACTGGATATGTCTGTATGTCAATCCTACATTTCTCCTTCTGTTTGTCTTGCTCTGACTATGTTTGCTTTTCTGTTTGTGTGTCTGTTTATCTGTCTATCTTTCTGTTTGTCCTCCTGTCTCAATCTGACAGCATATGCCCTGTCTCTTATACACATCTCCAGACTGGATATGTCTGTATGTCAATCCTACATTTCTCCTTCTGTTTGTCTTGCTCTGACTATGTTTGCTTTTCTGTTTGTGTGTCTGTTTATCTGTCTATCTTTCTGTTTGTCCTCCTGTCTCAATCTGACAGCATATGCCTGTCTGTCTGTCCGTCTTTCACTCCAATTCTCTGACTGTCTCTGCCAGTCTATCTACCTGCCTGTTTTTCCTGTCCGCGTGTCGCCTATCTGCCTGTTTGTTCATCCGACACTTACCTGACCACATTTGCGTCTGTCTGTTCTCCAGCAAGTTTGTATGTCGGAGGGCTTCGAGTCGTTTAGCATGCCAGGCAAAGCAGGCCCAGAGGCAGAAGCCAAGGCGAGCAGTCTTTCAAGCAGAAGTTTTGTCTGGAATTGTCTGTCGAAGGAAAGGAACCACAGCTCAGTAAAAGCCACCTGGGAAGCACAGGCACACCATCAAAAGTGTGCCCTCTTTGGTGAATTCCCTCTCCCCTTGAAGGTTGCAGCAAGGTCTCTGTTCAGATTGCACAAGCTGCTCATTTATACGACATTCAGATTTGACAGACGAATCAAGAATTGAACTGCACGCGTTTTAATGTCTATTCCAAATCTAGTTAATGGTGTGAAACAAGACCCAATGGCCGGACCTTGGGCGGTGGGTATGCAGTCTGTTTTTCGGTTTTCTCTTTTTTTGCGCACCCCTATTGTCATGTACAAGGCGTTGTGACGAATGACTGGGCTTCCAGAGCAGATGTGTCCGTAAAGTAGTCTATATACGGCATGAACTGGTGAGGGATCAAGTGTTCGAACCGCAGCAGACTTCTCCAAATATGGCAGTCCACAGTAACATGGAGCGGGGAACATGCGCGCCTTTACTGCTGGGTACTGGGTGCTTACTTTCACGAAAACATGGATGTGCAACTTTGATTCAGGCAGCTTTTCGAGGTTTTCAAATTCGCTCTATCCTTCTGAAAGCTGTTCGGACAGAATTCGAACAACGGTTTGAAAAACTTGAGAGCCTCTATCCTTCTGAGAATTTCTGCCACGATATTTCCTATCATATACACAACAGCCCGGCAGCTGTGAGATCACACGGCTCCTCACGTGATGAGGTCTCAATTGACAGCAGCAGCACCAGAATAGCAGCAAACCCTGCATCTTTAGATGGAGATCAAGACTCAAACAGAGGGAGAGAGGTAGTAGTATGGCTGGCAGGACCCGCCATCATCTGTAGACCTACCATAACCGCGGCAGCAGATGCATTCCACTCCCTAATACATCACAGAGCTTCAGACACCCTCATGTCCCTTGCTTCTTCAGTCGAGATGACATCTACTCCTGTCAATTCAGTCGTCTCGCCACATCAGCTGCCTGGGGTTTGTTGTCGTACCCAGGAGGAGGAGGAGGAGGAGGAGGAGGATGCATCAGCCGATGCCCTGGGGTTTGAACCTAAAGTGGGAATGACATCTACAGTGTATGTCAATGAGGGTACTCATCCGCTGCCTGCTGGTTGCCGTTGTTCCCAAGCGGCGATGCCTGAGAAAGAGAAGGAGGACAGATCACCTGATGCCCCTCAGTTTGAACCTAAAGTGGAAATGACAGATTCCCATAGAAATGGTGATGTCAATCGAGATGGACAAATCTGTGGCGCTGATGACAATGGACAAATCCGTCCTGGTGGTGACGGACAAAGTGTTATTTTGCTGATCCCAACCAAAGAAGAGAGAAAGGCCCAACTGAGGAAGTTGATTGAGCTGGAGCTGTCATGGACAAGGAACGCATTACTGCTTCGCAAACAGCATCTCAGGCAACTGAAGGGGGCAAGAGCCACTACAAGAGACCAGTACTTGCCAACCTCGATGCCATCGTCATCATATCGTGGCGAGGTCCTGGTGTCCTCCAAAGAAAAATGATGGTGGGCAGTGATGCAGGTGTGGACCACTCTTCATGATGCTGGAACTTGGAACGGTCTGATTGTGTAGGTTACCCCTCTTCCGTGCTTCTTGTAAGGAAGAGTAGTGCTACAGGAGGCTCGAGTCAACACCAGCCTCGATGTCATCGTCATCATATCATGACGAGGTCCTGGTGTCCTCCAAAGTAAATGATGGTGGGCAGTGATGTAGGTGCTGACTGCTCTTCATGATGCCAGAACTCGGAACGGTCTGATTTTGTAGGTTACCCCTCTTTTGTGCTTCTTGTAAGGAAGAGCACTGCTACAGGAGGCTCGAGAGCACCAGAGTGCATCCTTACTTTTGCCGATTGCAGATTTCAACTACTCCTGATAAGGGTACTTCGACAAATTGGCTTTCTTTGACGAAACAGTTTGACAAAGTATTTTGCACTCGGTATCCTCCAATGCGGAAGTGATGGCGGGCAGTCTTTTGCACTCAACATCCTCCAAATCGCAACTGATGATGGGACAACAATTCACTGGAATTGAGTCTGATTGTGTAGGTTGCCCCTCTTCTTTGCTTCTGACTTAGAACCACCAGTTTTGGTTCCCGCTATGCAGAAATGCTCACCGGTGAACACGGAGCACAATCACAGGATCAGCCTACTTGACCCAAGAGGGGTACTGGGGGAGAGCGCACATTTCCGAGTACCCGAATTTTTGTGATTTTTTATTTTAATTTCTGGCAGCGAAGAATCCCAAAAACAATCAGGGATGTTGGTTAGGTTCCTCCGAATCACGGAAACAGATTGAAAAACAAACCAAAATGGTTTGGGCCGAGGTTAGGTGGTTTTCCTAGCAAGCTGGAGGTTGTGTGTTCGATTCTTGCATTGGACATGCCAAGGCATCATACAGTAACCGTCGTCGAAATTGTCCCTACACTTATAGAAATCGCTATTCGGTACGTGAGATTTGGCCGATCCGGGCTGCCCGCGGTCTACCGGCCGACGGTCTGGATTTTCACGCGATCTTAAGACTTTAAGACTTTAAGATCGCACAGCGATCCATACCATCCGCTTTGCCGGACGGCCTGGATTGTTGCGCAATCTTAAAGTCTTAAGATCGCGCGGAAATCCGAACCGTCAGGCCGGTAGGACCACGGGCGTGCCTGGATCGGCACGCCCGTTGGAAATAGGGCCCGTTGCAGGGCGACGCTGTGGCCCGTTGCAGGGCGGTGCTTTCCGTCCAACGGGCTGCCCACCTCGACTCCGCCACAGGCTCCCGCTTTCCGCCACCCCCCACCTCCCTTCCGCCTCCTCCAGCCATCTCCCCTCCACCACCGCCCACCATCTCCTCTCGGCCTCCGCCCACCATCTCCTCTCCGCCTCCGCCCAACTCTTCTCCGCCGGACGCCCACCTCGCCTCCACCTCCGCCCACCTCCCCTCCGCCTTCTCCTGCCATCTCCTCTCCGCCTTCACCCACCTCCCCTCCGCCACTGCCCATATCTCCTCCCTGCCTCCACCCACCTCTTCTCCGCTCGGGTGCCACCTCACCTCCACCTCCGCTCGCCGGTCCCCTCCCCTCCGCCTCCCCCCACCCCTTGGGATTCCTCTGCCACTTCTCCCTCGGCATTCCCCCGCCAGTTCTCCTCCGCTACTGCCTCCACCTATGCTCACCCCCGCCCACCTCACATCCGCCCACCTCACATCCACCTCTGCCAACCTCAACTTTGCCTCTGCCCACCTCACCTCCACCTCCGCTCATCTCTACCCTCCTCACCTACGGCCTGCCTACCATAGAGCTCTCTCTCTCTCTCTCTC